CTTATGTGCTTTTTTTGGGCCCTATTTGGTCCCCCAGGATGTCGGACTGAGAGCCTGATTTGGTCTATTGGAAGCTGTGGTTGCCGCTGCCGATGCGGTGAGACGACATTACTAAAGCAACTCTCGAAAGGGAGACGTTAAGCTTCATGTGGGTACCACGGAAATCTGCGATCCCTTACCTTCAGTCCCGAAATCTTGTCTTCACTAAGTCTGCTAGCATTGATTCCTAAACCCTAAACCCTAAACCCTAAACCCTAAACCCTAATTATTGATGTACTTCAGTATACGAGCAGTAGTCGTTGGATGCACAGAGAGCCTTTCAGAGTGGAACCTGGATCCTGAACCCTGATGCCAGGCCACGGTTTAGGGTTTATTAGGGCTTATTAGGTTTTATTAGGGTTTATTAGGGTTTATAAGGGTTTATTAGGTTTTATTAGGGTTTATTTTGGTTTTTTAGGGTTTAGGGTTTATTAGGGTTTAGAAGTGCCTTGAGATTTGGGTAGCTCCGTGAACCAGATATCGTTGTGCCTCAAGCACTACACCTCAATCCGTAGAATCTCGATGTCACTCCATGTCCGGCGACATGTTGCGTGGCTGTTTCGGAGTGAACAACTATACCTAAACCCCTATATCGCAAAGTCTGTGTGCCCGGCGGTTGGTTCGGATCTAGCTAGAAGATTTACCTCAGAAGAATCAAGCTGCTTCCTGAACCCGAAAACTTAGTACTTCTTGGGCGTTGCGGTTTAGATTCTACCGTAAAAGGATCTCATGCTGTCGGAGTTTAGGGATTATTTTAAGGCAGGCTCGATTGTTTCTTCGCTAAAGCAGCACTGCGCTAGATTGCATGGTTGACCGTGTCAGGGGTCCTTCGGTTGATGGACAATATCCTGCATGACCTTATTATACCTATACTATGGGATTTATGGTAATATACTATATTTGGGTCATGCAGAATTTTGTCCATCAGCAGTTGCTAAGTAGTTGCACTCCTGATGTTCAAGAGAAGCGGGGATCTCCAGCAAAGGAACCCGCAAACCGAGTTGAACCCTAAAACCGTAGTGATAGATCACCAGCCCTACAAGGCCCAGGCCCGAAATTTAAAGCGCAACTTACTCTAAGGGTCCATGTACCCAAATAGTATATACCTTGGCCTCAAGGTAGTCCCTATATAGTTCCTGTAGGGTCAATGTATATACTAGTTGGGTACATGGCCCCGTAGGGTTACATATATAATTATGCAGGGGTCTACATTAGATAGTACCCAAACCCTAAACCCCTTAACCCTAAATCCTACACCCTAAACCCTACATGTTTCCAATGTAACTCTGGTTGCTCTGGTTTTGCTTTGTCTGGTTTAGGGTTCAGGGTTTGAGCGCTCAGCGTTTTAGGATCTTAAGAAATTTGCGGCTTTACGGTAGGGATCTAGCATTGTAGTTGGACCCCGCGCCCTGCGCGGCCACCTTGTACTTGGGATCTTGACTTTTAGGCATGAGCTGGTCTGGGGTTGATAAACTCACTCCGAACAACAGGTGTCTGACCTGAATGCCAATGTGGCCCCCGACAAGCCGCGCCCGGATGGCCTTGCGCTGAGCATTGTATAGTACATTAATGTGGAGGTCTGAACGACACTGAAGAGTTTCCCGAAACCCTAATGAGGCCGTAAGCCCCATTCCCTGAACGCGCTGACAATCGCTGCCGTTACTGCAGCAACAACCACAACAGCAGCAGCAGCAGCACCCGCAGCGACAGCGACGGCGACGGCGACAGCGACAGCGACAGCGACAGCGACAGCGACAGCGACAGCGACAGCGACAGCGACAGCGACAGCGACAGCGACAGCGACAGCGACAGCGACAGCAGCAGCAGAAGCATCAGAAACAGGAGCAGCAACAGCAAAAGCAACAGCAACAGCAACAGCAACAGCAACAACAACCACCGCCGTCACCACTACCACAACAACCACACAGCAATAGCAACAACAACAACAACAACAACAACAACGCCTAGCACTACCACTACGACCACTACTACTACCACCACCACCACCACCACCACCACCACCACTACTACTACTTTACGACGACGATGACGACCACTACTATTGCTACCGCTACCGCTACCGCTACCGCTGCCGCTGCCGCTACCGCTACCGCTACCGCTACCGCTACCGCTACTGCTACTGCTACTTCTACTGCTACTGCTACTGCTACTGCTACTGCTACTGCTACTGCTACTGCTACTGCTACTGCTACTGCTACTGCTACTGCTACTGATGCTGCTGCTGCTGCTGCTGCTGTTGCTGC